AACTGGTGCAAGACATCTACCTTTAGGCCCATCTCAGTTTTCTTTTTTTTTTTTTTCCAAAGGTTTTATTTATTTATTCATGACAGAGAGAGAGAGAGAGAGAGAGAGAGAGAGAGAGAGAGGCAGAGACACAGGCAGAAGGAGAAGCAGGCTCCATGCAGGGAGCCCGACGTGGGACTCAATCCTGGGTCTCCAGGATCAGGCCCTGGGCTGAAGGCAGGTGCTAAACCACTGAGCCATCCGGGCTGCCCCTGTCTCAGTTTTCAACATGCCTTCCTCACTGAGCATAATCATTTCTAGCTTCTGACTTAAAAGATGTGTGATTCTTTCTTTCACTTAGAGGCCATTAGAAGGTTATTTATTTCAGGGCTGTGTGTCTCAGAATAGGAAGGTACAAGCACAAGAAGACAGCTGGGTTGGCAGGGGGTGGGGAGGGATGGTCAGATGGTTGGTATAGTGGTCAAAACATATATAACTTTTAACATTTATCCATTAAGCTTGCTACCTTATTGAGCAAGTTCATGGCACCCCCAAGTAGTTACAATAGTAAGATCAAAGATCACTGATGACAGATCATCATAACAAGTAAAATGATGAAAAAGATAAAATACTTCAAATATTACCAAAATGTGACACAGAGACATAAAGTGAGCAAATGTTATTGGAAACATGGTGCTGATAACCCTACCTTAAGCAAGTCTGCCACAAACTTTCAACTATAAAGAAAAAAAAGCAGTATCTGCAAAGCACAGTAAAACAAAATACAATAAAATGAAAACTGCAAACTACAAAATATTTCAGAAGAAATGGAAGACGAAATAAGTAACTGGAAAGATCACCTGTGTTTATGGATTCGAAGACAATATTGTTAAGATGTCAATACCATGCAAGGTAATCTACAGAGGTAACACAATGCCTATCAAAATTCCAGTGATGTTTTTGACAAATCTAGAAAATTCCATCCTAAAAAATCAGGTTGAATCTCAAGGGACCCCTAGTAGCCAAAACAATCTTGAAAAAGAAAAAACACTGGAAGTCTCTCACTCCCTATTTTCAAAATTTACTACAAAGCTACAGTAATCAAAACACTGTGGTACTGGCATAAACAGACATAGACCAATGTAACAGGATGAAGAGCCCTGGATTAAGCCCTTGCATCTTGGTCAAATGATTTTTGGTAAGGGTACCAATAGCATTCAATGGAGAAAGGAAAGCCTCTTCAATAAATGGTCCTAGGCATCCACATGCAGAAGAATGAAACTAGACCACTCTCTTGCACCATACACAAAGATAAACTCAAAATGGATGAAAGATCTAAATGTGAGACAAGATTCCATCAAAATCCCAGAGGAGAACACAGTCAACACCCTTTTTGAACTTGACCACAGCAACTTCTTGCAAGATACATCCATGAAGGCAAGAGAAACAAAAGCAAAAATGAACTATTGGGACTTCATCAAGATAAGAAGCTTCTGCACAGCAAGGAAACAGTCAACAAAACTAAAAGACAACCTACAGAATGGGAGAAGATATTTGCAAATGACGTATCAGATAAAGGGCTAGTTTCCAAGATCTACAAAGAACTTATTAAACTCAACAGCAAAGAAACAAACAATCCAATCATGAAATGGGCAAAAGACATGAAGAGAAATCTCACAGAGGAAGACATAGACATGGCCAACAAGCACATGAGAAAATGCTCCACATCCCTTGCCATCAGGGAAATACAAATCAAAACCACAATGAGATACCACCTCACACCAGTGAGAATGGTGAAAAGTAACAAGACAGGAAACAACAAATGTTGGAGAGGATGCGGAGAAAGGGGAACCCTCTTACACTGTTGGTGGGAATGTGAACTGGTGCAGCCACTCTGGAAAACTGTGTGGAGGTTCCTCAAAGAGTTAAAAATAGAACTTCCCTATGACCCAGCAATTGCACTGCTGGGGATTTACCCCAAAGATTCAGATGCAGTGAAACGCCAGGACACCTGCACCCCAATGTTTATAGCAGCAATGTCCACAGTAGCCAAACTGTGGAAGGAGCCTCGGTGTCCATCGAAAGATGAATGGATAAAGAAGATGTGGTCTATGTATACAATGGAATATTACTCAGCCATTAGAAATGACAAATACCCACCATTTGCTTCAACGTGGATGGAACTGGAGGGAATTATGCTGAGTGAAGTAAGTCAATCGGAGAAGGACAAACAGTGTATGTTCTCATTCATTTGGGGAATATAAAAAATAGTGAAAGGGAATCAAGGGGAAAGGAGAGAAAATGAGTGGGAAATATCAGAGAGGGAGACAGAACATGAGAGACTCAGGAAACGAACTCGGGGTTGGTGCAAGGGGAGGTGGGCAGGGGGTGGGGGTGACTGGGTGACGGGCACTGAGGGGGGCACTTGAAGGGATGAGCACTGGGTGTTATTCTATATGTTAGCAAGTTGAACACCAATAAAAAATAAATTTATAATAAAAAAATGGTCCAAGGAAAACAGGAAATCCATTATCCTAAATAATGAAGTTGGACCCTTACTTAACACCATATGCAAAAATTAAAAATGGATCAAAACCCTAAACATAAGAGCTTAAACTATAAAACTGTTAGAAGCAAACTGAGAGGAAAAGCTTCATGAGTTAGATTTATCAATGATCTTGTGGACAATAAAGTACAATAAAGATGGACCATAGGGCAGCTCCAGTGGCTCAGCGGTTTGGCACCACCTTCAGTCCAGGGCCTGATTCTGGAGACCCAGGACTGAGTCCCACGTCGGGCTCCCTGCATGGAGCTTGCTTCTTCCTCTGCCTGTGTATCTGCCTGCCTCTCTCTCTCTCTCTCATGAATGAATGAATGAATGAATGAATGAATAAATAAATCTTTTTTTAAAAAGTGGACAATAAAAGTACAAGCTACAAAAGGAAAAAGATGATAAATTGGGCTCCACCAAAATTAAATACTTCTATATATCATAGACCCTCTATCAACAGGGTCAAAAAGGCAACCTACAGAATGGAAGAAGCATTATCTGTCTGATAAAATTATAAATCAGACGGGCATCTGCCTTCAGCTCGGGTCATGATCCTGGGGTCTGGGGATTGAGCCCTGCATCCAGTCCCTGCTGAGCAGAGAGCCTGTTTCTCCCCCTCCCTCTGCTGCTCCCCCTGCTTGTGTGTGCACTCACTTTCTCTCTCTTTTGCTGTCAAATAAATAAAATCTTAAAAATTAAAAAGTTATAAATCAGAAATTGTATCTGATAAAGAACTAATATCCAGAATTTATAAAGAACTCCTACAACTCAACACATAGTAACAATTAGAAAATGGGCAGAGGAATGGCCAATAAACATATGAGAAGATGCTCAACATCACTAATCATTAGAGAATTGCAAATCAAAACCCTAGTGAAATGGCACTTCACACCCATTATGATGATTATTATAAAACAAAAAAACAAGTGTTGGGGAAAATGTGGAAAAATTCAAACCCTTATGCACTGCTGGTAGGATTGCAAAATGATGGTAGTCACTGTGGAAAGCAGTATGGCAGGTACTCAAAAGTTAAACATGGAATTTTCATATAATATAGTACTTCTACGTCTGGATACATACATCCCCAAAAGAATTGAAGCAGGTACTTAGATATTTTGCACTCAGCAGTATTCACAGTAGCCAAAAGATGTAAACGACCCAAATGTTCATGTATATAGGTAAAGAGATGAACAAAATATGGTATATTTACATATGAAAAATGTTATTCAACCTTAAAAAAGGGGAAATTCTGATGAACTTGGGGAACATTTTATGGCAAGTAAAATAAGCCAGACACAAAAGGATATATATAGAATGATCCCACTTACATGAGGTACTTACAGTAGTCAAATTAATAAAAACAAAGTAAAATGGTAGTTGTTAATGGTTGCAGAGATGGGAGGTAGGAATGTGGAACCGTTGTTTAATGTGCATGGAATCTGAATCTGGGAAGATGGAAACTATGGACATAGATGGTTGTGCTGGTTACCCAATACTGGGAATGTATTTAATGCCACTAAACTGTATACTTAAAAACTGCAAAACTGGTAAATTTTATGTTCCTTACATATTTTGCCACAATGAAAGAATAAAACAAAATGTGAATTCAGCAAAAAAGAATAAGAAAGTGAACAGAGTAATTCATAACATAGATTGACCCGTGAACAAAATGTTAGCTCAAACAGGCAAAACCAAGTATGCTCTTTATAAATACATACAGCATATGTGGTGATTTAAAAAAAAAAAAAATTACTCCAAGAATCAGGACAGTGGAAGGGTTACCCCTATGGTTAAGGAGGGGGATACAATTTTGTAGGGACACAAATACTAGCAAATTTGGGTGTCTTCACTCAAGCAAGCACTGGGTACATGAGTATTTACTCTTGGAACTGTAATATACTTTATATAAATCTTCTGTATATATTTCACAATTTTTTAAAAAGGCAAACTGAACTCTCTCCCACCAAAAACAAAAGAAAGTTAACTTTGCTCATTTCTAATTTCCCAGATGGTTTATGCTCTGGCATAACGTAATAAGACTGGAAAAATCTGAAACACACCATAGTGATTATTTTGCAGTCTTGTTGAGGATTTTCTCCCTCAAAATAGCATTTATTCTACTTTCCTTCTCAGAAATAAAATGGTTCCTACGAACCTGAACAGGCCTACATTAGGACTTTGGCTGGTAGTAATTTCTTACAAACCAGAACATTCATTAGATATGTTCATTCATTATTCAATATTCATTAGACATGTTCATATGAACTGGTCACAAAATTTCCATAAATAATATTTATCTGATGGATTTTTATTGTGTTTAAAACAATGTTTTGATCTGAATGTGATTGCTGTTCACATCAAATTAGCAATATCTAACCAATAAAATCTGAGCTCATTCGGAGTCACTACTTCCAACTGAAATTTTGAATCCCTAAAAATAAAATACAGACACACAGGTATAGTACTCAATTGAAATATATTTGTCTAATATCTACAAAGTGAACAATTGGTCTTAAGAAAGCAGACAAAAGGCACAAAATCATTATTACTACAGAGAAGCATTCATGCTACTGGATTTTATAAATATTCTGAGTGGCACAGTAAAAAATAAATTAAGCATTGAGCAAAAAAATCAAATACTTCATTTTTTCCTTGCTTTATATTCTAGTCATGTCTTGACCTCATTTGTAAAGGCTGAGAACTGAAATTCAACTGAAACCATGGAACGCTGTTGCAGTCTTTATATGTGTGTCATTTAATCACAGTGGTTTCCTTGCAGAGTTTGGGTCAAACAAGAGAGGTGCACTTTAAAAAAATCCACAGGAAATTCTTTTCTCTTTCCCCAAACTAAACACAAAATTGAGGCTGTGGTGGTGCAGTTTTGTATGTGCATGCGTATACTGAACTTCTAAAGCCCTTTTCATCACAAAAGTAGTGAAGTCTTCATCTGACTTGTTTTCTACTGTCCAAGAAGCAGATTCTGAAAAACGTATAACTAATGCTTTGCACGTGAGAAAGACTCTGGGGCAAGATTCCACAGTGGGTCTGGTTTTCCCAAGGTGCTCCATTTTGGAAGGGTCTGGCATAAACCTTTAACAGCTTCCTTGCCCACACGCCATCCAACAGGAAATAGTTTATTTTTCTTGAGTAAGGACAAACAAAATGCTAAAGTGGGTAGGGAGATGGGAATCACAACAGTAATTGTGAAGTGACAGCCACCGACACTTCTACCAGGAATGAGCCACTTTCTACCATGTGGACATCAACTGGCCCATGCCAATTCACCTTTGTTGACAGATGACTAAATGAGAATACTTTTGTGAGTGCAAAACATTTTTGGCAAAGTGAAAAATAGAAAACTTCAAACCTCATTGATAAAAATGAGCTCATAATTACCCACTTAAATCTTGGTAAGTGCAGTATTTACATGTGTAATAATACCCAGCAGACATGTGTATATAGTGCATGTGTGTGAACATACAGTAGTGACAGCTCACACACAGACCTGTGTACACACACATGCCCCAAATGGCTCTTGAATAAATTCAATCCTATAGTAGTTTTGGTGGTGCATTTTTCACAGTATATCATTTCTCGTTCAGGTACCATTTCTTGAATGATATCAAGAGGTCTCAGTGAACACCAGCAGAAACTTGATACTGTACCACTTTAATTCCTACAAAAACGGCTCTCTCTGAAAGCTCTGCACCTCCACCCCATCAGTGTGCCTTCCAAAGAGGATTGAAGTACACCCAGCCATCACCCTGTAAGAGAAGGAAGGAGACATGTTATGAAGACGTCTCAGCTGGGCAAGTGGAGAAAAGAGGGTGTTCAATGAATGGACAGGAGAGAGAAGGCAAGGCCTGCCTGTGAGGAACCTACCCAAACCAGTGATTTACAGCCCACTAGCCTGGAGGGGAGTGCCCAACCATGGCTCTCTTCAGCAGGTAGCAGTCACAAATCAGCACACATAAGAAATGATACCAAATAGCAGAAAAAGGCAAGAATCTAAATGGTATACACAATCTGGGGTTTAACTGGAAGGGAATGTATTGAATGGTAACAATTCTGGTATTGGGATGATTTTTATTCTTTACATACCCTCAAGCTTTCTGTTATGAACATACTGGGTTTTATTAAATCCAGGAAGAAGACTGTGGGGTTTTTGTTGTTGTTGTCGTCTTTTGGGTTTTCTATCTCCAACTTTTCACAGAAGCCAGGCAAGCTAGTTGTCTCAAAGAGACCAGATCTACTCACAAAAGGATCCTTGAAGGATTTTATAACGGTTAATTTTATGTGTTAACTCAATTGGCCATGGTGCTGAGATTAAACATTCTCTGAATATGTCTGTGAGGGTGTTTCCAGGTGAGAGAAGCACCTCAGTCACGATGATTTTCTTCCCTAGAGTGGGAGAGCATTATCCAATCCATTGAGGGCCTGAACACACAAAAAAAAAAAAGGTAGGGGAAGGAGGAATTCACTCTCCCTTTTCTTTTTAAACTACCTCACTTCTTGAGTTGGGATAGCTCATCTTCTCCTGCCTTTCTTTGGACTGGCATTTATACCACTGGCTTCCCTGGTTCTCAGGCCTTTGGACTTGAACTGAATTCTACCACTGGCTTTCCCAAGGTCTTCAGCTTGCAAACGGCAGATCCTGAGCTTTCCTGCCTCCATAATCTCATGAGCCAACTTCTCATAATAAATCTCTATGTATTTACATCTAATGCTTCAGTTTCTGTCATTTCTCTGGAGAACCCTGGCGAATACAGATTCACCTCACCTAGGCAAGGCTTTCAGTCATGGTTCTCACTCAGAGCCTAATACGGCAGTCTACCCAGCAGGCTTCCTGTCTGAACCAGAATCCAACCTTGAAGTCTCTATCACCCAGCCCTAGATCCTGCCTGTGGGGAGAACAGCAGCCACTCTGTTCCTGCCCCTAAGTCAACACTTCCATCATTTCCAATTCTGTTCTCAGAAATCTTCCCAACTGCTCCACAAACAACTTCAAAAGCCTAAGAGCCAAGAAAAAAAAAAAAAAAAAAAGCCTAAGAGCCTCAACAGGGGACAGAGTACCTTGCCCACTTGCTCAGTGGGGGCAAACTGGTGGATACTACTGCCTTCCAGTGTCCCTTTTCTGGGTGACAGCAGCAGCACTGAGCACACAGGACTCCTGCTCGTCCTTCCTGGCATGTCTATCCCATTTGGCTCATTCCAAATGCTTCATGGCTAATTTGTTACTAATGATCAAGTAGCAGGGGTTGTGTTTTGGGTTTTTTTTCTGTTTTTTAAGTCAGACAACATCCAGATCTCCACCCCATTCATTCCTTGCACTCCCTGTCAGGCTGCTGGGCTGTTATGAAGGCAGATGTGAGGGAGGAAGTGTCAGGCACTCACTTCCACCCAAAGGACAGCCTGGCCCAAAGCTGGAGCCAGAGTAAAGCCGCCCCAAACCCTCCTCTCAGGCCCTCCTCTGCCTCAACCTCATCCATCCAAACTGCTGCATTGCAAGACAAACCCACTTGCCCCTCACTTGGGACAAGTCCCCAAAGACAGGTGGCAGAGTTACCTCCTGGATAAAATACTTGGGCTGCCATGGCGTGTGCAGGTTCTCCCGTTTTCGTTCCTCCACCCGCTGCTTCTCCTCTAGGCGCCGCTTCTGCTCGGTGGCAGCATCAATGTCCCCCAGCCGCAGGTATCTGGTCACTTCCTGCCAGAGGTTCCTGGGAAGGAATGGAGGAGAGGGAGTGGTCAGGCAGGGCTAGCTGGCTTGACAGGGGCAGTTCTCAGCAAGGGGGCCAGAGTCACGGTGGGAGGGCATTTGGGAAGGGGGAGCGCATTCCAGGTCCCTCAAAGACCCCTAGAGCCAGGATTAGAACCCAGGGCCAACAAGATCCCAAGTTTCCAGCCCCTTCTTGTCCTGAGTAGCAGTCCTCTCTCAGTATCTAGGAGCAGAATCTAGTAATAATAGCAGTAGTACGCAGCATTAATACTACTATGATCACAAGCAACAATAACAGATACAATGCATGTCATATTTTTAACATTTTATATATATTAGCTCACTTCATCATCACAGCAACCCAATGGTATGGACGCCATATTACCATTCTCATTTTAAAGAGAGAAATAAGATCCATGTAAGGTGATACGCCCAGGGTTCATATACCAGCAAGCTGATATATATGAACAATGGCTGCTGAGCCAAAGGGGTACCCAGTATTAGGAGTTCTAGACTAGGGGGAATGGGCATGTGTGTTGATGTGGCAGGATCCATCATGTTGCCCACATCTAAATGGAAAATTACTTCTCTGCCTCATTCATTCATTGCAGGACGCCTTGAGCATTGGCATGATGAACCTGAGAAAAGCCAGACAGGGCTGCCAACAAAGTGGGTCCCAGGCAGCCCGGGTGGCTCAGTGGTTTAGCACCTGCCTTTGGCCCAGGGTGTGATCCTGGAGACCCGGGATCAAGTCCCGTGTTGGGCTCCCTGCATGGAGCCTGCTTCTCCCTCTGCCTGTGTCTCTGCCTCTCTCTCTGTGTCTCTCATGAATAAATAAAATCTTAAAAAAAAAAAAAAAAAGCTAGTAGTCCCAAGTTTAGAGGCCAAAGATAAAATAGGTTGGCAAACATTTTCTATAAAAAGCTAGATAGTAGGGTGCCTGGGTGGCTCAGTTGCTGAGCATCTGCCTTTGGCTCAGGTTGTGATCCCAGGGTCCTGGAATCAAGTCCCACACTGGGCTCCCCCCAGGGAGCCTGCTTCTCCCTCTGCCTATGTCTCTGCTTTTCTGTGTCTCTCATGAATAAATAAATAACATCTTTAAAAAAAAAAAAAAAGGCTGGATAGTATACATTGTAGGCTTTGCAGGCCATATGGTCTTGATCACAACTTCTTAAATGCCACAGAAAGGCCACCATAAACCATATGTAAATTAATGATCATGGCTGTGGTCCCAGAAAATTTTATAAAAATCAGCCATGGGTTGGACATGGCCCATAGGCCATAGTTTGCTAACCCCCTTGAATAAAAAAATTAAAAAGGCATATTCTAAGAAGATTCTGCTTCTGCATCTGCATAAACATTACTTTAAGTGGTTGCATTATACTCATACCAGGGAATAGACATACTAATTGGGTGGATTCTCCATTATTTAACTACTTTCTTACTGTTGAACAAGTAAGTGGTTTCTTCTTATGATTTAGTTTTCTTTTTAGAAAAAAATACCCAGCTTTATATTTGAAACCTTCTCTGAATTTAAGAATTTTCCTTCAGAATAGATTCCCAAAGATGGAATACAAAATTAAAGTGAATTCATGAACTTGAAGCTACACTGCACACACTCTTACTAGAAGTGTAGGGTACAGAGTGTCGATTTTATCACATCCTGGCCACTGCTGATTTTTTTTTTTAATCATGTTACTAATCTCGTGAGCAAAAAATAGTAGCTCATTGCTTCTAGACACAGTTCTTTGATTCCCAGCAACTCTGTATTTAACTATGCAATCAAGCAACAGACCAGCTGAGTCGACAAACTCTTTTAGGACAGGCATTAAAAGTCTACTGTAGACTATCCTCACAACCCACCACTCACTCTATAGAAGAACTAAACTGAAAGCTACAAAGGATCTACTCCAAAGCCACATGGAATGAGAAGCTCAAGTATCTAAATGAGTGACATGAACACTATCCCTGGCCCGTTTTTATTAGCTGAGTGTTCAGAGACTTCTCCATCGCCTGATCAGGTGCTGAGGAGAACTAAGCCTAGAAGCAACACCTCGCCTGGTTCCCACCTGGACTCCATGGGCCCCTGCTTCTCCAGAGGTCTGATCTTCTTGGGGTACACTGGCAGCGTGGTTGTGTCGATGACCCTGGTCTCTCCGCTGTTGTATGTGAACTCTAAAGTACCGTTCCACTCCCCATGGGCTTTGCAAACAATGGTGTTGGTTGGGTTGTGTTTCACTTCTGCTGTGACCCTGAATGAATGAATGAATGAATGAGTCGAATAAACATGCTTTGCAAGATTATCAAAACAGAGACTCACACTTCAAAAGGGATTCTTTTTTTATGGGGTAGCAAGGAGGAAGGATTTTATTTTTTTGCCATTTTGTTTAAAGACTAGCTCTTAAAATATAGACCTAATATTCTTGATCCGAAAAAGAAAGCATCCGTAGAAAAACCAGTGAGATGCGAATGAGGTCTGTAGGTTAGTTCATGGCAATATAGCCAAGTTAATTTCTTAATTTTGATAAACACACAAAGGGATGATATGTTACTATTTGGGATGGAAATCAAGTAATTCAATAGAAGCAAAGCTTATACTTCCCCCTAAAATAGTACTGAATAGTGCTACATTTTAACCACCAATGGGGCCAGAGAGTATACGGAGAATGATCTACCTGAGATCACATAGAAAAAGGAGGGAGGGGTGCCTGGGTGGCTCAGTTGGTTGAGCGTCTGCTTTTGGCTCGATCCTGGGATCAAGTCCCACAGGGAGCCTGCTTCTCCCTCTGCCTATGTCTCTGCCTCTGTATCTCTCATGAATAAATAAAATCTTTAGGAAAAAGAAAAGAAAAAGGAGGGAAACGTTTATCCTGGCATCTGGACTTTCCTCTGAACAAAGGCTGGGCAAAACCTTGACTCTCGGCATTGAGTGAACACCATCCTCCTCCCAGCGGTGGCTCTGAGGGACCTCCTTCGAAAGGGCCTCCCCGCTTCTGCTGCCTGGCCTGAGCAGGCTCCAGGTCTGCAGCTTTGGGAAAAATCAGATCCCACCTCCTCTCCACCTTCAAGCGAGCTGCTCGGTCAGAATAATGCAGCAGAAGCAGGAAAGCCTGCTCCGAAGCAGCCAAGAATAGGAAGGAGCTAAACTCCCCTCTTTCTAATGGCCCAGCTCAGGCTGAACTCGGTTTTCAAACACATGCTTGGAAGCTCATTCTCCGAGCCTGAACACAGCCATGGCTCCCAGGTGCCCAGGCAAAGGCTTGCAGGTGGCATCAGGAATCTTCTGGCTGCAGGTAGTGGAAGGGTGCTAGCGGTGTGCTGGCAAAGGTTTAACAACTGGCTCTCCAAAGGGAAAAACACCTGCTCTGTAGCGTTTGCCACCCTTGGGGGTGTCCCCTGACCCCAGGTGATCTCAAGCTACTGACATGGCCTGAGGGACTGAGGAGCTATGGAGAAACGTACACCGTCAGCTCTTGCAAGCCTGAGTGTGTGCTCGAAAACAGCCACCGCGGGCGTCCCCTTGCCCTCATATGAACACCATATAGAACTCAGTTCCGAAGAGAAAAGGCCAAGATGGGGCTTGCTTATACAGTAACCTGTAACTGCAGCAATGAAAACAATTTAATGCTTCTCTCCAACAGCAGACTTTACCTTTAATTTCTTAGGATCGGACTTTCCCAGATTCTAAAGTAGTCCTGATCTCATAGATGATACGGGGTTCTGGATATTTAATGGAACCAACTTAATGTGAAATGAGTTCTCAGGGGGCACCAGGGTGGCTCAGTCAGTTAAGCATCTGCCTTTGGCTCAGGTCATGATCCCGGGGTCCTGGGATTGAGGCCCACGTCAGGCTCCCTGTTCAGCTGGGAGTCTGCTTCTCCCTCTGCTCCCCACTGCCACCCTGCTTGCGCTCTTTCTCTCTCTCAAATAAGATCTTTAAAAAAAAAAAAAAAAGAGCTCCCAGGCAGTGTCTGAGCTCACAGTGTCTGAACTGCTTCAGAGCAGAGCAAAGAGGCTGTGGCCTCAGAAGGAAAAGATTATCATAACACATGGAAGCAGTTTTCATTCTCTGCTGTGAGTTCTGGGAATCTATCACCAAAGGATCTCACTATTATAAGTGTAGACTGGGGAGGACTTAAAAAAAAAAAACTGCCATGTGACGGGGCTGCGGTGGAAAGAGGCATTATTTTTAAAAAGATCTGTCAACTTGATCTTGATTTTCAACTCATCCCGTGGCTAGAACCCAAGCCCTTAAGGCGGAAAGAAAGTCAGGGCATGGTGTTAAGGCAAACACAAAGGCTCCCTGACCGCCTCCTACCTGTGGACTTTCCCTCCGTAAAAAGGCTTCGTGTGGAATATCACTGTGGCCGAGTACCCAGTCTTGGCACAGCTGATGCTGACTTTTCCTCCCAGCTCCACCCATGGGATGGTGAGGATGGACCGCGCGTAGGCACTGGGCAGGGTGAACACGTACTCCTCCCCATGTTCCAGGAGCCTCAGCACACCTCCAGGGAGAGAGGAGGAAAGAGTCAGGCACACAAGAAGAGGACAGCTGGGGATCAAAAGACACAAAGATGACAAACCAAACACCTCCGGCAACAGACGTCATGCCATGTCTCCTACCTCCGCAAAGGTCAGCCACTCACCAGCCATGTATTTATTTATCGAGTCCCCTAGTGGGTGCCAGACACTGTGCGAGGTGCTGTGAATACAACAGTGAACGGACCCACTTTCCTCCTCCAAGGAGAACAGAAAGGTGGACCTTAATCACCAACTGTGATAAAGGCAGGAGGGAGAAGTGCCTGGTGCCAAGGAGCCCTCCAGTAGGAGTTGACCTGAAAACAGAATTCTCCCTAAGGAAGGGATGTTTGGACCGGCTAAGAGTTGAGAAGGTCAGAGGGGAGGGCATATGCAAAGGGGCTGTGGTGGGAAGGAGCCTGGTGAGCAGGAAAGGGCTGAGGGGAAGGGCCCATGTGCACAACGGAGGGGGCTGGTGTAGGTAGGTGTGCAGGCTGGCCAATTCGGCAGGGGCTGGACCTTCTGCTAAGCTTTGAAATAGCATGTACAGGAGTTTTAGCCTGCTTCCTGAGAGCAAGAGACAGTTTCAAGATTCTCATGAAGTTGGAGAACTCAGACTGTACTCAGCTGTCAGCAACCTGGGGCAGGAACTAGCTACATGAGCAACCTGCCTCTAGGTCAGGGCTTCTCCAGCCCGGGATCCAAGCATTAGTGTGCAGAGGTCTTAGTCCTCTGGAACAATGCAAAAACGGTGTGGGTTTGTCTGTCTTCTAGGGGAAGGGGTCACAGTTTTCATCAAGTTCTCAAAGGCTGACATGACCAGGCTTTAAATGCACAAACTCCCCCAAGGCTGTTGTACAGCTTTTGTGCTACACAAGGTGAAAGGGGGCTGACATCCAGCCCTCGCTGTGGCCTGCTCTGAGGCCCTTACGGGCTGGCAGAGGTCCCGAGAACCAGGCTACGGGCTGAGATGTGTTGTGTGCAAGGTACCTTCTCAGCCTCCTGCCCCAGCCCCGGGGCTCAGAGACCTGCACACATCCCTGGCCTCTATCCCCGCCCGTTCCCAGCCTGGCCGTCAGCAGGTACACCGTGCATCTTGGGAAGGAAGCGCTGCCCTTCGGCCCCTCCCTGGTGGTGTCTCTGCCCTGGGACCCCTGTTCCTCCACTGGAAAGAGCGAAGAGTAGAGTCAGTGGCACCCATGTGTGTTGGCACTTCCTGGCTGCCGGGCACTCCTGGGGGCTCCCTACCCGTTATCTCCGTTAAGTTTCATGACAACTCTATTTGGCAATAATTACCATTTTTAAGTAAGGATGAGGAAATTGAATCTCAGGTTAAGTAATTTGGTTGGCCAGCACTTCCCTCTTAGGCTAGACAAGCATTTGTATAAACTAGAGCCAGAATCTGCCCAGTAGAGACCGTAGCACAGATGAGCCGGCCAGGGGGTCTGGGGACATACAGAGAGTCCTGCATGCTGCGTTTCTAAAGGCCGTGCGAAGGTGCGCACAACTACAGCTCAACTTACCTTGAACGTTCCCTTACTCACCGATGTGCCACGGTCTACGGATAGCCCACCCCGCTCATCTGAAACCAGCACATGCCCCTCCATGAACTCCAGTAAAGTCCTTTCTGCCAACCCACAGACACACAGAATCGGCCTGGAAATCCAGGCTGACACGCTCACATGTGTGTAGGGGTCTCGATCACCCCCAGGGTAGAAGGATGCTCACGCACAGGGGCACATGCGGGAGCTGAGGCCATCAGGGAGAAACAGATTTGCGGGTCACTCTCAATCACGGGGGCAGGGCCAGAGGATGGAGATCACGGCAGCATATAAATCTCAATCAATCTCCCTCTCCCCACCCCCAGGGGTGTAATTGAGTATATGTAACACGAACACACAAATAGCCTGGCCCTACTATGCCAAATACACTGACCAGCAGAACGGACCTCCGCCCCACTTCACCTTACTTTCGCGCTCAGGACTGAATTAATGCATCTCCCTGAAAGTAAAGGCCCCAGGCCGGCTAGTGCCCTCCCAAGGACCCTCGTCCTTCCTTCTACCAGGCGGTGAGTAGACGCCCCAGAGGTGCCTCGAGGCCCTGCCCTGCACACACACGGAGCGGGGGACGGTGTGTCTGGCGAGGGAATTAACACTTTGCTAGCTCCCTTCTCACAGAGTCTGACCAGGACCGTTGGAGAACGGCCAGGGCCGATACACTTTTGGTTTCAAAGCCCACTTGGTGTGTCCGACTTCCTCAAATTTGGACGCTTGAGGTGACGGTCTAGAGCAAGTGGAAAATTGCAGCTGATACCAGACACGTAGGACACCAACAGGCAAGAAGAATCGGAAGGAAAAGCTGAGAAGAGAGAGGCCATCCCGGATTTCCCTCCCTGGTCCAGTTCTACCCACAAGTTTCCTGGTCCCTCTGGGGCCAGCCACATTCGCAAGGTCTCTGGGCCTGTGGCAGTGGGGAGGGGACCCCGGGACCCTGCAGAGGAGGCCACCAGGCCCTTGGCCAGCCTGCCTCCGACGTCCTGGGGAAGAGGCTTCCCTGTCTCCCCCTCCCTGCCCTCCGCGCTGACGGGCTACTTGATAGTCAAACCCTTCCTTGGTGGCCAAGGTGTCCTTGAGAGCACCACCTCTGCTCCGACGGCTACGGTGTCCCTGGGTGGTCAGCCCTGCCAGTCCTTGGCTGGGAGTCCCCTCGGGCTCGCCAGCAGCCTCCCTGCAGGCTGGGGTCACACATCCACGAGTTCCAGATGAAGATGGGCTGCATCTTTCCTGACCTCATTCACAAATACAACCTTTGTGAGGTAGGGTCGCACAGCTGATGTTTTCTTTACAACATATCTACATGGACAATGTGGCCCAAGTTTTCATAAAGAGCTGGATGAGACAGAGATCTCTGAGGAGGGGCCTTCCAAACCCACAGTCGCTCACCAGCCTGGTGACCTTAACCTCTCTGAGCCTCAGTTTCCTTATCTGTGACACAGGGATGATGGCATCCCTACCTCATAGGGCTGTGGTGGAAAGAAGGTGATTCTAGAACTCAGTTAAAAGCATCCACCTGACTCACAGCCAGCATCCTGCAGATTTTATATCCTAACTACTCCTTGCTCTCTTGGTGGGTGAACTCTGAGCAGCAGTTATTTCCATTTGGGAATAAAGAGTGAATCACAAAGTGGCAGCGGGTTATGCACACAGGGGATGAAGAGATAGGTGGGAGGAATCCTCTTCCCACTCATCTTTAGAAAAATGTCTCTCAGGGCAGGCACCTCAGTGGTTCAGTTGGTTAAGTGTCTGACTCTTTATCTCAGACTTATGAGTTCAGGCCCCGTGTTGGCCTCCACCCTGGGCATGGAGCCTACTTTAAAAAAAGAAAAAGAGAATGAAAGAAAGAAAAAGAAAAATCTCTTGCAAACCCAAGATCCACAGAAATCAGTGAGCCCCAAAGCTGGGCTGGTATGAAAGCAGTGGGGAGACCACACTCCTTTGGCTCTTCTCTGAAAATCCATAAATGTGTGCTTTGTCATTAATCACCTGCAATTATGCCTTCTCAGTACTACTCTTTTCAGGGCTGCATTAAAAACAATCTGTCTCTAATATGAATAAAAGACTATATTAAAAAACTAGACTTACAGATGGGCTTGCAAATGAAAGTTCCTTTTTAACTAGCCTAAGAGATGAGAGAAGCCAAAAAATGTTAGATAATCAATACTTCCACACTGTGGTTAGTCTTCAAGCTGCAAGATTTCCACTTTAAATCCCACAGATTGTTTTACCAATAAACAGAAGGCAAAGCATTAAGATTTTCAAACTGATAGATTTAAAACAATTTCACACCCAATCTCAATTGGAGGAACCAAAATATTCCAGTTGGACGTTGCCTCTGGGGAGCACCAGATCACAGAAAGTCACTCTGGGGAACAGGTCTGCAGGCCTGGTGGTGTCGGTGCTCCCTAGCACAGAGCCAATGTGTCACTTCTCTCGCTGGAACTAATTGCCTTTCCCCACAGACTCAATTAAGAAGCTGTGTCATTTCCTGGGCTCTGGCTCTGGAGTTTGTGGGGGAGCGGGTTTCAAGAGCAGCTGAATGCACCTCGGCTCCCCCCACCCCAGGGGAGGGGGGTGTTGACTGAACAGTGTGTCTCAACGAGGGGTCTGAGGGCCAGGGCCGAGGGATCTGAGGGGGCGGCGGCCTCTGAGCTGAACCTCAGGGAATTCCAGGCGTAATGCAGCACTGTATAGTGGCATTTGATGGTAGCCACATGTGGCATGGCCTAAAGGCAATGCTTTAACAGATTAGGCCCTGTATCTACATCGAAAAATTTCCTGTGGACCCGTCTAAGATCTAATTTTTTAAATGAGGGGGTGGAGGGAGGGCCTGGGTGGCTCAGTGGTTGGGCGTCTGCCTTCAGCTCAGGGCGTGATCCCGGGGTCCTGGGATCGAGTCTCACATCAAGCTTCCCACAGGGAGCCTGCTTCTCCCTCTGCCTATGTCTCTGCCTCTCTTTGTGTCTCATGAATAAATAAAATCTTAAAACATAATAATAAAAATAAAATGAGGGGTGGGAAAAAAAAGTTACATCAGACCCAGTCAAACAAATTCATGGAATGTGCTAGACCAGTACAAGGAATGAGTGAGGAAAAGAAAAACATCCTGGCTTCCCAACTCCCCCAACCCCCGCAAAGGAGCTCTGGGTACAGGAACCAGAACCTTTTGCTCCAAAACTTGGGGTCTTAAAAAGTATTTTCTGGGAAAGCGCTTCCTGGGTATTACAGAGCGTGCGTTTAACTAACATGAAAGGGGGAGGTAGCTACTGAAAGGATTTGGGGAAACCAGGCCTCACAAGAATGAGCCAATGGTCGGCCCCTGACCCTTCCCGGGCCCATCGAGGGGGAGTGCCCTGGTGGCCAGGAAGGGTCATGGCCGGGAAGGGCCCCTCTAGTCTCTCTCCAGGTATTCCTTGCTGATTCCAGCACTCTACTGAGAGTTCTAAGGAGAATTTCCAAGCAGGTGGAACAGGGAGCAGCGGATTCTAATTCTGCTCTGGGGGCGGCTACGGCTAGAGCGAGGCTCTCGGGAGAGTGTTACATGACCTCGGCCCAGAGTGGGAAGAGCTTTGGTGCTCTGCGCCAAGTGGATTGAGGGCCCCAGGCCCTCCCTGTTCGCCTCAGGGGGCGAACACCCCGACACATCCCAGGCCCACCCTTGAGATACTTTCACTCAACCACCAGCACCAATGAGAGAAAGTGAAGTTCCCGAGGACAGGGACGGAGGCCAAGTACGCTGCTGGGTGGAGGAGGGAGCCCCAGCGCCCCAGCACCCCAGCACGGGACAGAGCAGCTAACAGAGAAGCCGGGGAAGGAGGGAGCGCGGGGCAGAAGGTGCCAGAGGCCCCAGAGGCCGGGGCGAGCTCGGCAACACAGTGGGCAACACAGTCGTGCAGGCGGCTCGGCTGTACACCCTCCTCCTCAGGGAGCCCGCCCCTCAGGGAGATGGCTGGGAAGAGATTTCAGTTTCACTGACTGAAGAATTCTCCTAAATCCCTGGATGTGCAAATCACCTGTATGGGAAATTGCCAGCTCTCTCCCTGGGGTCAAGACGCCCAGCGTATGGGCCCAGAGCCTGGGAGGTATGTGCCCTGCACTCTTACTCAAGAACCTGTGGCTGCCCCGGGGCACCTGGGTGGCTCAGCCGTTGAGTAATGACCGTGAGGTGCTGGGATCAAGTCCCGCGTCGGGCTCCCCGTAGGGAGCCGCCTCTCCCTCTGCCTGTGTCTCTGCCTCTGTGTCTCTCATGAATGAATAAATAAAATCTTTAAAACCAAACCAAATCAAAAGAACCCGTGGCTTTCCCTTGCCACATGGCAGCAGGCATTTCTGCTGGGCGCCAGGGAACCCCCAGAAAGGCACCTGCATAAATTTTCTGTGTACCTCAAAACCCATTTGGTTTTAGCAGAAGTTATTACACTCACGCAGCACGTACTCTGGCCAATCACAGATTCACAGTGTTGTCTGTCTCCCGCTAGCTGGGCCCCTGGGCCCTCCTGGCCCCGCCCCATCTGCTCAACACCAGCAGCCCTTGGGGATGCTGCTCCCACCATGTCCACCTGCCACCCAGGGGCGAAGGCCGAGTCCTTGCAGGCCCCTGAGCCAGTCCCCGTGGTTGGGGCCCGTCTCCTCTCTGGCCGGCCCCTTCTGCTCCGCCGTGGCCGCCTCAGCGAGGTTCCAGAACTCCCCAGCCTCACTGCTCGCCGGGGCCTCCGGGCCTCCTGCTCTGGTCCTGCTCTGTCTCCCGCAGCACCCTTCGCGCAGCCGTCCCCGGCTCCTCTCCCACCTCCTGCAAGCCTTCCCTCAAAGCCTGCATTCTTGTTGGGCTCTGCCCTACGAACGGTGCTGGCACCTCTGCCGGGCACCCCACCCGCCTCGCCCCGTCCTACTCTGTCTCATCGGCGCCACCCACGTGTCCGTTTCCTGCACGTGTCTGGGTTTCCGCGACTCATGCAGCGGAGGTCAGTCCCCGAGGGCAGCGAGTTCTGTCTAGACCTGGTCACTGCCACCAAAAATGGTGCCATTCACGTCCCGAGTAAACGGATGAGCAGACGAGAATAATCCCACGGAATGTCTGAACCACCCCACGAGAGCTAAGGAAGTAAACACCCTTGAAACAAGGCTCCAGGGAAGGTGCCAGAAAAACTGCCCACATGGGTGGTAAGTGACCCCCCGAAGGTGTGAACAGCTTCCGCGCTCCATCACCTCCAGCAAACCAGCATTTCACCTTCGAATCATTCAGGACTTGGGGAACTTGGTGTAAGGACTGAAACTCCACAGGATGAGATCTGAAGCTCCTGCCTACAGACTTTTGTTCCTAAATCAAAGGGAAGACTTCACCAGTACACACATTGGGGCCTCGGCTGGGCCTCTGGCATCGCGTGGGAACACAGTGTGAGGCCTTCCGGGGCACCATCGCATCCCTCCTAAGGCCCCCTGCCCCGTCCCCACTGCTCCCAGGTCCCTCCCTTGCTTTGTTTTTCTCCATAGTATTTCACAGCTTCCCACACAACCAACATACATTACCAGTAAAATAGAAGTTGAATGGAAGCACTGAATGAGGATAGAGATTTTTTTTTTGGCATATTTTGTTTATACAAGAATCCACAGCTCCTGTGACACCTGGATGGCTCAGTGGTTGAGCGTCTGCCTTCCGCTCAGGTCATGATCCCAGGGTCCTGGGATGGAGTCCCACATTGGGTTCCCCACAGGGAGCCTGCTTCTCCCTCTGCCTGTGTCTCTGCCTCTCTATGTCTCTCATGAATAAATAAAAATCTTAAAACAAAAATCTATAGCTCCTGACACAATGTCCAGCATCCATTAGGCACTCAATAAAAATGCCCTAAGTGAATGAGAGGTGTTCTTCTCTCCTGTGGTTTTGGAAGGGCTTCCAAAGAGCCATATACTCCCTGAAACTGAAAACTAAATTTTGTGTTGGATTTTTTTCTTTCCCTGAGAAGGGAATCCACAGTCTCAGAGTCTCAAAGGAATCTGTGACTCAGAGAAGTGGAAGAACCACGAACCCAGATGCTTTAACAAGGATTATTATAGGTTTCTTCAAACAACGAATAAACTTCATTCACAGATATTTGCTAAAACAGGACCATGCAATCCACAAGTGTGTGATTACATTGTTCTTGCTTCAGAAAGCTCTAGCAGAATCCAGAGATTTGCCTTGGGAATGTTTATGAGCAGATTCCAAATAGGCAGCACTATTATCCTTATTGTCTGTGAGCCAGACATGGGTGAAAATGAACATAAATGTGTTTTCACAGATTTGGAGTCAACTCTAATATTCATGCGAAGCTGAAAATAAAAATAGTATGTAAGGTGGCCCCCACACACGGCTAAAATGTAGTAAAGATCCAGGTGCATCCCATCTGGTCTATGACCTTGGCCCCACTGGGAAATTACCAGGGTCTCGCCCCATAATAACAAAATCTGTCCCTCTTTACCACCCCCCCCCCAATTCCAAAACAAAATAAAAACAAAGAACTCCACACACTCATCAATCATCTATCAGGTGTATAAATGTCACCGTGTCGGAGCCAAGCTCCCTGCAACATCTGGCATGGCTTACCTTCCCCTATCATGGAGACCCCCACGGACATGCCCATGAACTTGCTTTTGGTCCATACGTGAGTGTTGACGCACAGTCTCTTCTCCTTGCACTCACAGTAGAAGCAGGAGATGGGTGGGTGATGAGACACCTGCTCGGCCACAAACCTTAGTTTGTAGCTTGTGGAAGGGTCCTCGGCTACCGAGTGTTCGTGGCCAGCAGGAGAATGGGAAGCAGTCCTCTTTGGCTTGACCCTGTCTTTGGGGACCTCCCAGGAGCAGTGAAACGTCTCACCGATGATGGGGTTGTAGGGCTTCTTGGCCAGGGCCCCCTTGCGGCCCTCATGGAAGGCTGTGAGATAATACTCCACAAAGCAAATGACTCTCTCCTCGGGCGTGGCTCCCGCGGTAATGGCCAGCAGCAGGTCTGGGTGTGCCATAAAGTCCGCGTACATCTCCAGCAAGGATCGCTTCTCCAGGATAAATGTGGGAAGCACCACCTACATTCGGAAGGAGACAAAGTCAGACAGGAGACCCCGAGATTACGTGAAAAAGGCTGCAACCACCACCAAGCAAATCCATCGTGGCTTAAGCCAGAGAACGCTGTCTTTTGATTCGTCTACAAGCGACAGATTAGGGGAAATGACATCAAAGAAGACAAGGTTGGAGAAGTGGCTGCTGTGGTGGCATGATGCCAACCCACTTTCGTGGACTAGATGGTTCTGCGTGGCTTGCTTCTCTGCTCATCTGGACTAGAACAGCGGTCTCTACTTCCCCCTCCACTGCTGTCACCATCCCCAGACAAAACCCTCTTTTACTAACTCCTTATTACTTAGAGATGTGAAGAAAAGAGCACAAAAGGACTTCTTCCTTTTCTTCCTGACATCAGACAACCCAGGGGAGTGCTCGGTGTGTCCCCACAAACATGGGGCTTTTTGGTGCTGCATCAAAGGGGGTCCAGGTAGACCAGCACACACCACACTAAGAGGGTTTATTTGGAGATCTCTGTTAGAAGAGTAGCATCCAAATCCCAACACGATCAAGGCAGAGCAGGAGTGAGGAAAGGAGCCAGGGCCCAGGTCTCTGGGAGGCAAGGCCAATCAGCTAGCAAGCAAATGCCCAGAGAGTTGCCATGCAGAGGAAGGGCCATGTGTGGAGGTTGCTCTGCAAGGCTGGGCCAGAAGAAATAAGCAGAAGTTACAAAGAAACAGGCTGACACTTAATACAGAATCTTCTGGCAAAAGGACTGGTACAGGGGCTTCTCATGGGATTGTTACTGACATCACTACCAAAAAGAGGAGTAGAAATCTGGATGCTTCTGCCAGGGACGGGACGGAGACTCCTTGTTGATCCAGAGAGAATGCATGTGGTCATCGGGTGCCCCACAACCCCAATGAGGAAGTCAGTTAAAGCAAATGAAGGCCATTGTGACATTGGGCTGGAAAGCAGGTCCCTTATTACTATCGCTGATAGGCGGAGGAGAGCGAGCCTGTTCCTCACTGTTCTAGAGTGATCTTAAAACGACTTCATTACTGGGTATTAATACCAATCACTTGGCTGCAAGGCACAGCTCACTTTGACCTGGAGCATCTCAGCACAGGATCGTGAAGCTGGAAGTCTAGCCATGGCCCGCTGGCTCCTCCCTAACAGCCTCCAGGAGAAAGAGACAGAAAGAGAAGAGAGGGAGGCAGAGAGAGAAGAGCCACACAAGTTCAAGGCGATGCAGCTGGCTTACACTCCCTCCTTACAAGACTGAGTCTGTCCTTCCTTCACATAGTCCCCAACTCCCGAGAAAATACTCTCTGACTGCAAATGTCAAAAGGCTTACAGATCTGCAACCCTGCCTCCACCTCAGCTTGCTCAGACCCTTCCTAGCAAAGGGTGTAGATACAATGGCAGAGGGATGTCCTGAGAGAAAGAGACAGACAGGCAGACAGGAGATCAGCAAAGCACAGAGATTTCAGAGGAAGCTGGAAAAAGTCCAGCCCCCTGGAGAGGGGACTCTGGTATCTTTATTAACACTTTTCTTGAGATCAAATAGTACATTAGAGGAAAGAGTACGTACACTCATTAAGTAAAAAAGCAGCCAGGGGATCCCTGGGCGGCTCAGCGGTTTAGCACCGCCTTCGGCCCAGGGTGCGATCCTGGAGACCCAGGACCAAGTCCCACATCGGGCTCCCTGCATGGAGCCTGCTTCTCCCTCTGCCTGTGTCTCTGCCTCTCTCTCTCTGTCTCTCATGAATAAATAAATAAAATCTTTAAAAAAAAAAAAAGAGAGAAAGAAAGAAAAGCAGCCAGATGTAAAGTCAAACATGTGACACAAATCTAGTATTACAAAAAGACCCCAAATGTTAACATGTATTTCTTGGTGTTAGAATTGAGTGATTTTTACATTTTTTTATAAGTATCTTTCTGCTTTGCTTTTACAATATACTGGAAGAAAAGACACAACTATGCAAATCAATGGATATTTTTTCATTTTCTTTCAGCCAAAACTTGACAAAACTGAGACTCTGGCTGCCCCAAGGCTCTGAGCTGGCCAGGTAATGGACATTCTGGCTCAGAATGGCCTTCAGAGGCCACTGTGATTACTTCCTACATCTTTCGTGGGGACAGGTCATCATTCAATGGCCATCGCTGTGCTGTAGGGCGTCTGCTTTTCCAAGGGGGCTCTTGGGCCAGGGGCTCCCTCCACAGCAGGCAGCCACTGGCAGAGTAAAGGGGAGGCAAGCGCAGCCCCACACTCTCACCATGGCTCCCTCTCCTGCCCCCCCGGCTGCCCAGGGTCGCCCTGGGAGCTCCGCCCGACAGGCTGTGCGGGGCCTAGGGGCTTAATCAGCCATGGGACACCCCCCAATGAGGCCAACCAACTGAAAGAGAAAAGAAGCCACAAATGTCTGCATCTCCAGGCCTTCCCGAAACCTCCCCATTTCTTGTTCCTTCCCTCCCCCGGCAGGGCCCGGTGATCATGAGAGAACCCGAGAGGGAAAGGGCGGAATTAGGGTGGGAGGCCAGCCCCAAAAGCCCCTGCCGAGAGGGTCGCTCGGCGGCCTCAGCTGCGCCCTCTGCCCCTGGGGGCTGGGGCCTCTCTGGCAGCAAGTCTGGTGCTCTGGACAGGGGCATCCTCCAGCGTGTACCCGAGCCTGGCATCACAAGGAAAGACCCGGCCACCAGGGTCACCCTCTCCATATATACTTTTGAAAAGGGCAAGAACATAAGGCGGTTCCCCAACTTAGCATTTCTGACTCTGAAGCTGAAGAGTTAAAACAAAATAACCAGGGGACAGAACGCCACTGACACTCCAAGTGACTGACTGTCAGGACGGAGAGGGCCCCTCCGGGGGATGGAGTCCAACGCCCGGGTCTCCAGGTCGGGGGAAAGAGACGGCGGGTGGGGAGCAAAGGCACCATGCAGGAACCTTGAGGGCTCCCAACTGCCACCCCAAGTTCTTCCCATTACCCCCCACACAACACAATTATCTGCTTCTGGCTAACAGGAGCGTTTTCTTTCCCTCAGTGGACAAGGCAGGTGAGAGTTCACTGGACAGAAGCCTGGGACAGCTGGGCCACCTCACCTGCTGCCATTGCTTAGTGGGGGGCAGAGGCCCCTGGGTGGCTCAGTCACTTAAGGGGCCAACTTGATTTTGGATCAGGTCATGATCTCAGGGTCCTGGGATCGAGCCCCCCATGGAGCTTCATGCTCACCAGGGAGCCTGCTTGAGACTCTCCCTCTGCCTCTCCCCTCGCTTGCATGTGCATGTGCTTTCTCTCTCTCAAGTAAATAAATCTTAAAAAAAAAAAAAAAAAACAAGTAGGGGATAAGAAGTGGCACACAAGTAAGGGTGGCACACGAGTCCATTCTACTCTTCCTGGAATGACCAAGCAATCCACCTGTCCAAAAATTATCACAAATATTACTACTGGGAGGGAGACCACAGGTGATTAGGAAAGGCAAACACATCACCCCAGTCTGGAAAAGTGTGGCTGTGGCTTCCTAGCTGGCTGCCTTGATTTCTTCTCCACACCACAGCCAGACCCATCTCTCTAAGAGATCAGTGAGGTCCAATCTGGCCCCCACCTCCCCCTCTTGTGGGGGACTATCCCTCACTTTCCACCCCGGCCCTCCCCTTACAAGTACACACACACACACACACACACACACACACACACACACAAACACCCGCACACTCCAATCCTGTTTCCCTTTTCTGCCCTCCTCCTGCCTTGTCCAAATGAGAAACAGCTCTTCTGCTCAAAGGTATCCTCCTCTGTGAAGCTTCTTCTGACAGCTCCTGCTCCCCAGGCTCAACTGGCAAGTCCCTCCTTCATACATACCCTCACCACATGCCACAGGTCTCCACCATGGCACAGACAATGCTTGTTGCAATAAAGAGCATTATTGGGGGGTGCCTGGGTGGCTTAGTTGGTTAAGTGTCAGGTCATGATCTCAGGGTCCTGGGATTGAGCCCCACATCAGGCTCCCTGCTCAGTGGGGAGTCTGCTTCTCCCTCTGCCCCTCCCACTGCTCGTGCTCTCTCTCTAATAAATTAATTAAAGTAATTAAAAAATCAGAGCATTATTGGGACAATTTGAGAAATTTCTACCGTGGGCCACATATGAAATAATACCGTATCAACAATACACTTCCTGAGTGTGCCCAGCGTGTCATGTAGGAGAATGTCCTCGTCATCAGGAGACACACACAGATGGATGCAGGGGAGCATGGTCATGTCTGCAACGTACTTGGAAATGGTTCACCAGAAACCAGACATATACACACACATGCAGGCGTGTATCTGAGGCTGCAGAGCGAGAGGAGAGGGAGAGAGAAGTAGAGAGAGTGGGAGAGATGAGAGAAGGAAAATGAAGCAGCAAAATGTCAACAACTGGCAAATAAGGGTGAGGGTTACAGGGCAGTTCACTGTGCTATTCTTACAGCCCGACCACAGATCAGGAAATGTGCCAAATACAAAGGGGGCGGGAACAGAAAAAAGGCCCTATAGGGATGCGATACCTGAGAATTTATCAATTTTCAAAGCCGGTGCTCCCCAAACTGCAGACCCTGGGAACGTGGCCTCACAGCCAATGGCAAGTCCAACCTACTTGGATATATAGTCTACACTTGAAAATAACGCTGCAGCTCTATCAGAGCAGGAAGAAGTACTCCACCCGGAGAGATGGACGTGGATGGGTCGGGAGCGGAAGGACCATTTCCCCTTCCATCCCTTGCCGGTCTGTCTTGTTGCTGTTTGTGCAGAATATTGGATCAGTGCCTTTGAAAACCAGGATCCTGAACATTTCGGGTAAGATTATACTTTTTACTAAAGCAGGTTTCTATCTCTCACAGGGATCTCCCTGCGTGTGTGTGTGTGTGTGTGTGTGTGTGTGTGTGTGCGCGCACGCGCATATGCGCACGCCTTTGCAAATAAGTCACTTAATCATCTGTTCCTTGGGCAGTGGACGCTGCAGACACAGAGCCAAGAAGTGGCGAGTGCTAATTG